TTCTCTCTTCCTCTCTCTCTCTCTCTTCTCTTCTTTTCTCCTCTTCTTCTCTCCTCCTCTCTCTCTCTCTCTCTCTCTCTTCTCTCTCTCCTCTCTCTCTCTCTCTCTCTCTCCTCTCTCTCTCTCTCTCTCTCTCTCTCTCTCTCCTCTCTCTTCTCTCTCTACTCTCTCTCTCTCTCTCTCTGATCTCTCTCTCATCGTCTCTCTCTCTCTCTCTTCTCATCTACCTCTCTCTCTCTCTCTCTCTCTCTCTCTCTCTCTCTCTCTCTCATCCTCTCTCTTCTCTCTCTCTCTCCTCGCTCCTTCTCTCTCCCATCTCTCTCTTCTTCCTCTCTCTCTCTCTCTCTCCTCTCTCTCTCTCTCCTCTCTCTCCTCTCCCGTCTCTGCTCCTCTCTACTCATCTCTCTTCTCTCTCTCTCTCTCTCTCTCTCTCTCTCTCTCTCTCTCTCTCTCTCTTTCTCTCATCTCCTCTCTCTCTTCGTCCTCTCTCCTCTCTCTCTCTCTCTCTCTCTCCTCTTCTCTCTCTCTCTCTCTCCTCTCACGTCTCTCTCTCTCTCTCTCGCTCTCTCTCTCTCTCTCTCTCTCTCTCTCTCTCTCTCTCTCTCTCTCCTCTCTCTCTGTCTTTTCTCCGCTCTCTCTCTCTCTCTGTGTTTATAAACCATCTCACACACACTTTCTCTCTCTTGTCACATCATTACAGTGGTGTCACCGTGACGTTAGCTGACCACGGTTTACAGCAGGTGACGGTAGAAGGACTAGACGAATACGGCTACCTCGTCGTGCGCACGCGCCTCGGCGACACAATCAGCGTGCAACCAGACGGCAACAGCTTTGATATGCTGCATCGCGTCATCAGCGTGAAGCCAAGCAGGTGATGCGGATGAGGAGTGCGCAGCATCTGTCAGAGAAACATCCTTGGCAGCGGCACGTCTGTGAAGCAGTGATGAGGCGCATACAGCATTTGTGATGCAGGGTCTTCTGTGATAACAACGTCTTCGTCTGTAATTTTTGCTCGCAGTGATGACGCATTGGTGACGTGATTCATGCTCCTTGCGATGACGTCATTCTTGATTTGTTTTACTATGAGTTACATCATCCATGATTCGTCTTCTCGCGTCATGATGACATCTGTGATTTCTGCATGCGGCCTACAAGATGACATCATCCGTGACATCTAATGTAGTCTAGAAGGCAAGGGACCGTATCAGCAGCATCCACAGTTACCCCCACAGTTTGGTCGGCTTCACTAACAAAAAACTATGGCTCCTAAGGAAACCAATTTCTTTCGTTATTGTGTCCTTGTGACAGTGTAAGAGTTAGATGTTAGGGTTGTTAAGGTAAGCTGTAGGTATGGAATCAACTGAGGGATGCCAAGTGGCAGCACAATTAAAGGGTATACTAATACAGGGTTAGGGTTAGGTTGTAGTCCGCAGTTACAATGTCACAATGTCCAATCTGTACTACCTATAACCAGAACATCATTGTAGCAAAGCCGTAGCAAAACGTTTACCAGATGTCTATGCCAGTACATACACAAATTAATCTGTGCAATATAACGAAGATAACTCGTGGATATAGCAGGTTTATGCCATATTTGGTAGCTAGTAAAATCGTTCAGGCATTTTCATGATGGTAGTAAAATTTCCAGTTAATTAGTAGAGGTTCTAAATAGTTAGTAGAACCGCCAGAAAGCTAGTAACATTGCCAGGTAGTATGAATGACTGATTGCTAGTCGAATATCAGGTATAACTTTCATTAGTGTCAGATACGGTTATATTTTTATTTTGCCACTAACAATAGAGTCAGAAAATAGTTTGCCAGACACATATTAGAATTGCCAGATAGCAGTAGCACCATTGCCAGGCAGATAGAGGAGTTGCCAGATAGCTAGAATTATTGCCAGATAGCTAGAATCATTGCCAAATAGCTAGGGTGATAGCCAGATAATTATTTCAGAATTGTCAGTCGGCTAGAGGATCTATCAGACCCTTGATGTCATTGCTGAATCGATAGATGGAGATTACGGGGAACAGCTATGCTGACTGACGAAGCTGACACGGTCACGCCGCGGTTGCTAGTAGAGATTCCGTTGGTTGCCGGGGCGATGTCACACATTCGGCGCCGCGCATCTGTGTGTCGTGGCGGAGCGTTTGTTTTCTTCGCTCGTTCCCGGGCGCGCGGCTTACTCAAACTTTAGTCGAGATGGAGAGCCACGTTTCTCGTATAGATGGCGCCATCGTGGCAATAGCTGAGAAACTCGGGTGGAGATGTGTCTTGTCATCTTTTTAGCAGTGCTTGTGTTGAGCGGATGCCGCTCGATCAGTATTATCGCCCTCGATGATTTGTGAGATTGTACCGTTTTTATCGTTAAGTAGTATTAAGCGGCTTTAGGAGATCACGGGACCAGTCTAGCATGTTTACAGTCTAGAATGCTCGGTCTGTTTTGCATCTGCATGAGAATTCAACATTTATCCACACAAGGTGGCAGCAGGGTATTACTCCCTGCTCTTTCTGTGGGCATGTGCTCTGTGTTAACCTGTGGCAGTTATGTCTTTAATTATGATTACTACCAAAAGTAAGATAATATTATAATATATCATAATAATATTATAATATATTATAATAATTGTAATTACTTATTATTCGTTATTCATTAGCTTACTCCTGTTTATATCATTATAATTGCTATAAGGCAATTACCTTGGCAATATCACAATGTTGCTTAGAACGGGTAAGAATGTGTACTTTGTTTCTGTGACAATCAGAGATACATGCATAATTGATACGAATAACTGGAACCTGTATATGCGTTTAATGATATCATAATAAAGGTTATGCATAATTGCATAGAATAATACAACATGTACATGAAGCTCAACTAATAGTGATGTGACCACGATAAGGGTGCAGGTCGAATACTGATGAACATAGACATGGTGATCATGTCATAGTGATGTAATGATGCTGTTCAAGTAATAGACTACTACAGCTTTCTCCACTTTTGCCTTCCTTATTCTTCACCATTTTATCTCTCACCAGTTCCAATATTCTCCTCCTGCTTTATGTTCCACAACCTGTAACGATTCTCCACCCTCCCTTCCCACTTCACATTACTCCTCTTTCTTGCCCTAGTACTTAACCGTTATCAATCATACTTTTCCTACTTCCTTACTCCCTTCCTTCTCTCATTGTTCTCGGCCACGTTTATTCTCTTCCTGCTTTCCTTACATTCCTTCCTCCCAGTACCCTTCATCAACATATGATGGACGGATAGATGGATGTGTGGATAGATAGATAGATAGATAGATATAGATAGGTACGTACTCCGGATTTTAGTATGACTTTATAAAATTCATGCAGTCATTGATATTTGAGGGATTGTTGTATAGAGAAAGAAGTAGTAGTGGGTAGGCATATAGGTAGATAGAAAAATACGTAGATTGATAGATAGATGCATAGATAGACAGACAGACATATAGATAGAGAGATAGATGGATGGATAGATAGATAGGCAGATAGAAAGATAGATAGACAGACATAGATAGAACGTAAATATTTTAATTTTGCACTAGAATCCTTTGATTAAACTACTAAGCAAGCCGAAAACCAAAAGGCTTTATAATCCATAAAAAAAAAATTATGAAAAAATAAAATTTACGCTAAATATTTTGTCATTTTCTGGCTAACATTAAATTCTAGAAGGGAACCACGCACGCATCACTCATAGAGAAATCACGTCTGACGATAAAAATATTAATTTTTCGCAATAACTTTAAAATATACGGCCGTTTCACGCCTCACACTATACCGCATCATGGCCTTTTTATGACAATGAACATAATGTGATTCTTTTGCGTACATTGATGCTTCGATCGTGGTCGTCGGCATCTGTAGTTTTGGCTTCACCAACAACGCAAACATCAATCTTTTCGTCGATTGATCGAGTGCGTAACTTGGAAACAGGTCCGAATTATTTCTACCTCAGACATTCGTTCGTGGGATCACTGCCACCTGTGGTGAAATGCGTTTACATTAGCTCTATCGGCGTAGCCCCCTACTCCTGCTACAGGGCGTGTAGTGCGCTACGGTGTAGCCTCGGTAGCGGAAGCGAAGGAGCTACACCCATAGAAATATATAGAGACACCTATTCTACCTAGTCTACCTATATTATTTCTATGGCTACACCGGTAGAGCTACGGTTACATATGATTTGTTGTCATGTGACGTCAGTTATGACGTTTAGAGTGACCAGCGTGCCGTTTTCCGGTGGCAAACACTTTGATATAGATATAGGGTTACTATCTAATTCTATGGGCAAATACAAGATCTACGCAGCTATGTTGGGCACTCAAACATCCACAAACTTTTTCGATAACCAACTAAGTTGTTGGGATACCGGCCCGGCATGAGCCATGCAGGAGGGTCGGTGAGCGACGCTGGGTTTGTAACCGATGACCACTGTACGCGTAGGCGTGGCGTGGGCCGTCACCATACATCACGGTTGACCGCTGCCGTATATATGATGACTACCTGCGCGCATCTCGTCTTTCAACCCGTTCTCTACCGCTCCCCCCCTCTCTACCCCTCTCTCTCTCTCTCTCTCTCTCTCTCTCTCTCTCTCCCTCTCCCTCTCTCTCTCTCGCTCCCTCGTTATTTCTCCCTCTCCTTCGCTCTCTCTTTCTCTCGCGCGCGCGCTCTCTCTCTCCCCTCTCTCTCGCCTTCCTTTAAAATTCTCTCTGTTCCTCTCGCTTTCTTCCGGGGTGATACTCCATTAGGAGTGTTCCCAACTGTAATGTCATTAATGGTTAGGGTTATGTTATAGGTTATAGCCTGTTAGGGTTAGGGTTAGGATTAGGATTATCAATCATTAATCATTAATCATTAATCATTAATTATATCAAAGTTGGGAACACTCCTAATGGAGCGTTAGCGCTCTTCCGCGCTCAATCCCCCTCTCTCTCTCGTCTCTCTCTCTGCACCCCCCTCCCATTCCTCTATCTCTCGCCTTCTGCTCATCCTCTCCGCGCATTCCCGTGAGATCCGCGCCCCCGCGGGGCAGGCAGGCGGCCGAGAGAAAGTGAGCGAGAGTTTCTGGGTATGGATGCATGGCTACCGGTAAAACCGGTTGCGCGCCGATGGGTGAAGGTGAATGACACGCTCGCTACTGCCGACACGCAGCAGACGGTAGCGGTAGCAGTGTCGGGCGGTAGCAGTGTCGGGCGGTGACGGCAGACGACGATAGCACGCGGTATAGCGGCGCTAGACTGCACGTGTAGCGAGCGAGCGAGTGGTGGCGTGCTGGTGCACCTGTCAAGTTGTGCGGCTACAGACCGAGAGCGTCCGCCGATTGATACCTCCGATCGATTAGTCGATAGATCCGGATAGATCGATTTGATAACTCCGTTCGGAAGAGGGTGATAGAGAGAGAGAGAGAGAGATGATGAGCATGATGGGGACACTGGTAGCCGTCGCATTTCTCTTACTGTGCGGTATCCATCGCTCAGTCCCGCAGCAACAGGTACGTACGTGCTATGTTATGTCACCAGAAGTGACGGAAAACGCAATTACTGTTCCTCACTCCCGATATCACTCATGCCCGTTATCTTACCTAATTGTCGTGTGCCTATACGTGAATCACCATGATCCACTGGTTGCGACCAATTTCAATTCTGTCTATATCAAATACCTGCCTGCTAGTATCATCTCTGAACTTCTCTCTTATACGTCTGATACGCTTCTACAGATCTAACATCCATACACGAAACTCCAGCCCATACTTTCTAACGGGTTTTATCTACAGTCATGTGCACACGCCCTCTCTCACGCTTGTTGTCTGTATGTAGGAACCAGTCATAGAACACGACCACGAACACGTTGATTACGTGATGGATGCGTGCAATTCTCTCCTAGGGAAAGGGGAAACATGGGGCCCGTTGTCAGAAACAAAATTAGTCTTAACATTAGTCTGAACGCTAACATTTCCTCTTAGACCGTCGACAGCACTTTGTTTCGTACTGTTACGAGGAAATCTGCTACGATTTTTCATTCAGGTAACTTCGCAGCGTTTCTGACGACGGTCTAAGAGAAAAAGTTAATGTTAAGACAACGGGCCCATGGTCTTTATCTTTTTTTTGTGGGGGGGGGCTATATACGTAATCTAACCAGATGCTGATGCTGATGCTGATCCAGATTTGATGCTGATCTGCCACACTGGTGGTGAAGGTGGCTGCGTACACACCGTACATACAGTAGCAGCATGAACATGACTATATACACGCGTATTCAGTTTCCAATAGATATGTTCACGGTAGCAGTTATGTTATGGGTGCGTGGCGCTTCTTACGTAGGTTGAGGACGTACGGGACGGGACGTACGTTAAGGACGTACGGGCGAGCGAAGTACTATGATCTTACGCGTAAATATAAGGTTCCGGTGTACCAGAGAGAATGCGAAGTACGTGGTTGAATATAAAATCCCATTTCTAAGCATAACAACAGTGCGACATTATTTCGGATAACGTCTACTTCTCTTATACGGACGTTAGTGAGATGCGAGCTGAATTGTTGATCTTCATATTATTGTCTGTGCGATGCCTGTATTCACTCGAAAACCTATTATAAAGAACGTGTCACATTTGTCGCTGTCTCTGCGCGCATTGTTTCTACTGAAAGATATCGAACATGACCCAGAAGAGCATCTTTCGTGATGCAAGGGTGTGGGCGTCCGTGCGTACGCGTGTGTGCGTGAGTTGCGTGCGTGGGTGCGCGTATGAGTGTGTCATCGTTGATCCTCACGAGGCGTAACCACCTGTAGCGCGCCGCGGCGTCTGTGCGTGGCCGAACTATACAGGAAGTTGGACGTATTTTTCGCCCGTATTTTGCGGTTGAGCGCCACGCTCGTGATTAGTTCAGGCAAGCAAACGTTCGCTGTGGACACAGTTAATGTGGCGTGTATTATTTTTATGTCGAATTCCCGAATTTGTGGCCGCTCTACTAAAATCCCCACGCCCCCTGGGCGCGCTGTAGTTTACCTTGCAGCTATATTTTTTTTCATGCCTGGATAGTTATCTTGGGATAGCTAGCATAGACTCATTAGTGGATGTAATTGCATGTCGGTGGCGGCTGTGTGTGTTAATTGAGATATAGGGATATAGGCAGGAGTAAGTAAGATGTAACCTGTGTTATCTTACGTCTGTTGAGTTTTCTGCCTATACCCGGATGTCGCAGTTCGAATAATATTGAGATGGTGATCGAACAGCCAGCACGATAGAGTAACTGACGGCGAACCATAAACTAGTGTCTAACTTCAAGTACCTATATACATAACATATAAGAACCCTAACCTTATATGTGTCGGTTTGTATAGGCGTGTGATCGCAATCGGCTAACAATCGATTCCTGGTCGGATATTTATATTTATATTCCTCTTACTCTCTTAAAAATATTTACCAGCTCTCGCGGTAGATTGCGGCAGTACAGTAGCACGCATGCAGTATGCAGGCCTAGCTATAGTGCCCCAAAGAGCGATGAGCACGTACGGGATCTCATTCTACGTGTTCCTCAAAGGAAATTTACGAATAAATATGTATAGATAGCTATATATATCAAGAGTACATAATACAGTATTATGTATATCTCTATTATGTACTCTTGATATATA